ATAATTGTACCTGTCTTCACGATCAAAGAAACTTCTTTAGGTCTTAAAGGAACATGGACAATCATGGGATGGTGCCTATATTCGTGAAATTATTCTTCGACAGCATGTGATTCCATTTCTTCGCGATCGTTCTTGATACAAATGAAGTTATATTTCTTCACGATAAGGCACCCTGCATGAAAGCTAATGCAACACAAGAACTCTTGGGGGATGAGGGTGTCAAGTTCTGAGGCAACTCTATCTGGCCTGGCAACAGTCCTGACATGAACCCGGCAGAGAATATTGGTGCAATTGTGAAAGATAAAGTTGAAGAACTGATGGCAGCGGAAGATCGTGAAGACAGATACAATTATGATATTCTGAAAACCAATCTTGAGATGGTGCTTCAAGATCTTGAAGATGACATCGATCTTTTCGTTGATTTGTTGTGCTCAATGAGAAAAAGATTTGATGCTCTCAAAGCTGCTCGAGGAGGTCATACCAATTTTTAATATTTTGTTATAAACACTTGATGAACATTTCATATTCCAATAAACTAGAAACTCCATGATCCACAAGGAAGTCGGTGAGACACGCAGCAACTTTTTCATAAATTTCCGATCTTGTAATTTATAACATTCTGATATCCAGGACATGGTACATGACTAATTTCATAGACAATATTTATTCTAATTATACTCCTAGATGCAGTTTTTAACGGGCTTTAATTTGGTATAAAATACTTTGTATTATTATTTGTCTATTATGTTGAAAAGGGGGGGCGTAATCATTATGTAACACCCTGTATACAATATTTTGCAAAAATAATTCATCAGTTTTCAAAACAATTTTTATTAAAGTTAGAGCAAGTTTATAGTATGTTTTACCATATTTGAAATCAATATTTCATACTCTTTTTTTGTCCGTATTTCATAACTTTCATCTACTCTTTTGTGTTAACCCACATTGACTAAAATAAGAGTTCATGCTTATCGAATCATGTGACTGAGATGCCGGTTAGCGGCTTTGAGCATATATTAA